ACTCAAGGTAAACTTTTTAATCAATGTCACTTGAATTCGTGGAGTAGTTGAGCCGAAATCAGCCTGAATGATGTTTGCTATCCGGAACTAGGAAAACGACTGTACTAAACGTCTGTCATGAATGTGGTGTGGCTACATGTAGCTAGCCCAGGTTGCTTGGGTGACGTCTTTATTGCATTACGACTGACGTCCAGGGTATAAATTGTACCACCATAGCGAAAACAATTATAACACATTTTTTTCATATTTTTACCTGACGGAGGAAGCTGAAATTTCGCTTACTATTACATATTCCTTGTGTCCACAATTGTACCTGCACTGGGTTTAGAAAAGGCAAATATGTCTGTGGGCTGCGTGTTTACCGAAAATAAACCGCAAGTTCTACGCATTCGTTGAAAACATTTTCAGTACGAACTCCCCTCGTGAAGACCTACCCGCGCCGTTTGCTGCCGCTTGCTGCGGTGGCGCCAGCGTGCTAGGTGTGCATGCACGTGCGCGTAATCTTCACGCGGGGGAGTTCATACTGAAAATGTTTTCAACGAAAGCTTGGGATTGCAGTTTATTTTCGGTAAACATGCCGCCCGCGGACATATTTGCCGTTCCTACACCCAGCGCGGGTACAATTCTGGACACAAGGAATATGTAAGTGAAATTTCAGCTTCCTCCGTCAGGTAAAAATATGCAAAAAATGTGTTATAATTTTTTTCGCTATGGCAGGGGAGATTTATACCCTGGACTCCGTTGCGTGTACACAACAGAGTCCAACCTGGGCTAGTGGCGTGGCGATTGTGTACAGACTAACAGAGGTGTAGGGCCCCAGTTTAGTGTCAATCAAATTAGAGTCAATGGTGTTTTTAATTACTCAAAAATGACATTTTCAACCTGAAGCAGACTTCTCTGAATGTAATGACACCTTTTCTGAACACTTTCTCGGGGTAGAAATTACAACTTTTCCTAGGCGGTTTACGGTTGGTGCCATGCGTTTCCAGTACATCGCACGGTGATCGCCATCTTTAGTTTCGTCATGTTCGTGTTGCGTTTTGTCGTTTTGTCGTCATCATCATTTTACCCCTAAATTTCCCTCAAAAATTCAAAACCCAGCCCGTAGTCTTACGACATACATGTATGTACCTAGCTTGAGTAACTCCAGCTGACATGCTCATATTCATTCACATGTAGTGCTGGAGACATAACTTACGGGTGAGAGTGTGGTCTTAAGAGACCCTTCTAGAATGGCCTCCCCAAAATTGTCCTTTTTCACCTCTCTTATCCCACCCCCAGATTCCATTTCCATACCTCATATGAATTCCCTGGGGGAAATTAACAACCGCGCGCCCGCACACACAGGACGCGAGCGCGAAGGGACAAGGAAATGTTAGAAATAGGCCACTTTTTAAAAAAGATCTGATCGTGACAGATCAACCACTTATGCTAACATTTTCATTCGTTCTCCCTCAGACACCTTGCAATCATACTGCGTGTTTTCTCCTAACTCAGCAGCCGCTGTGTCAAACATTCCGTTCGCGCGGTGATACACATTACCGACCCTTGCCTATCACTGTTCCAAAATACATTGCGATTGGTCAATGTTAACCACTGGCATTTGGGCAATAACTATTTCTTGTCTAATCAAAACCTCTTTTTAAAACGTACAACTGCCTATTGATCACACAAGTTTGTGGCCGTGTGTGGAGGGCACGCACGCACCCTGTGAGCATGCATGGGATGTATACATGTAGTTTCTGTGTGCATATATTTTATATGGGAAATTTAGTCATACAATTTTGTGCACGACAAATTCAGCAGTCATTCCAGGGTTCGACCTTAGCGGTGGTCCGCTGGCCAAAAGCCAGTTGAATTGCCGGCGGACCAGCTGAAACACCTTGCCAAGTGGTCCGGCTGGCCAGCCGAAAAAATCTGCGTCAAAAAAATGCTTGTTGTATTTATTTGGTTTCTTACTTACATTCGCTATTTTTTTCAAAAGAAACCTCCGTTATTTTTACAAATTCGCTTCGCGATATGACTACTTCGCAACTCGATGCCACGGTGACTATAATCATGTGCGTAAACCCAGCTCAATGCGGCGATGACTGGTTCCCGCCGCGCCAATTTAAAAGATATCATGATGAAAATGCGGTAACTAGTCTGTGCACGGCTATGTGATCGATAGCGCTAGCATGGCTATGCATTGTGCAGGCGCCAGGCACGTGCTCTGTCAACTGGTCGGTTTCGACATCGTAAAAATGCCAAGAAAACACCGATGGAAAAAGAATATTTTTGCAAGTTAATTTACAGAATTGATCTAGCTTGTCTGTGTATGTATTTTCTGTGTTCAAGAGTTCATTTTGAGATCGCACTACTCGTATTTGGAGTGATACATGCCGTGTGTTTCCCGAAATTTTTGACCGTAAAAACGGGTCTGTCAGCCCATGGTGGGTCGCTCGCCACACACGCACGCATCACACACCTCGGAGTTTTGGCCAGCTCCCCGCGTCTTGACTAGCGGTTTTTTCATTTTGTGTATAGCTTTCGTAGTACAATGAAAATAGATCAGGCTAAAACTTCGCCTACTGAGGCCTTATTGAATACCCCATTCAAGCTGCATAAAAAAAATTAGCCAAAAAAACCCCCTCAAAATCCGACCGACCGACCCTATTTTTAAACTGAGGCATGTAATCTGAGGCAGAACTATATATTTTTTTTGCGGCCTCAGATCATGGAGGAAGAAAATAGACCTCTATTGCTCAGGTGACATGATGACATGGGTGTTGCCTATAGTCTAGTTATGACTTATGTGAAACTGATTAACTGGTGGGTACACGCTGTATAAGACGGACCAGTCAAAAACCTGGCAGACCAGTCAAAATTCTAGCCAACTGGTCCGGCTGGCCAGTCAAAAAAAAAGTTAAGGGCAACCCCTGCATTCACGAAGCTAAAGATCGACTTGAAACAGACCCCCCCCCCCCCCCCCAAAAAAAAAATATGAAAAATATTGATGATTTCGCTGGCTTGTCCATTAAATATGACCCGTATCACTGCTGTCGTCCATGATGTATGGTTAATTTTGCACACGACACAATCATATGGTGGTCCTGAAGGGACATCACACTTCGAGATTTCTGCGATGTCGCTCATTTTTTATGCGATAAAATCGAGAGGTGAAAAAGGACAATTTTGGGGAGGCCATTCTGGAAGGGTCTCTTAAGACCACACTCTCACCCCTAAGTTATGTCTCCAGCACTACATGTGAATGAATATGAGCATGTCAGCTGGAGTTACTCAAGCTAACATGTACATCTAGCTACATGTACATGTTTTTTATAATATTAATGTCGCCAACTAGTTTGGTAGTCAATGTTGCCAACTAGTTTGGTAGTTTTTTGGGGTTTTTTTAAGTGCCTTTGCTGACACTTCCATACATGTAGGATGGAGGGGGCCTGTGTCATGCGTGTCTTTGCCTATACAGTAGAACGCCACTAAACGAACATGATGGGGTCCGTAAAACATGTTCATTATAATGGTTGTTCGCTATAGTGGTTGTGCATTATTATACAAATAACGAATGTTTGTGAGTGCGATGGTAAGAATAATTTCATGAGGTGACAGATTGAATGTTCTATTCCACGAGGCGAAGCCGAGTGGAATAGAACATTCAATCTGTCACCGAATGAAATTATTCTTTCCATCGCACGAACGTAAAACATTCGTTATTTGTTTTATACAACACAAGAATAAATTCTCGTCATTTGATTGGTAAATTATAAACTACAATTTATTTTGATTTAAAGATGTTGAACTACCCCTTCACGAAAATGTTTGAACCCAATGCTGTAGCGCTGGCTCTTTGGAACAATACGCGCTACGCTGAACGCGCACACCAGCATGTATTTTGCACGCAAATACCGCGTCATGGAACAAGCGCAAAGTGAAACGGTATAACGCATGGTCGCACCGTGCATTATACCGAATAATAATATGTCACGTGATCTACAATTCACCAATCAGATGACGGGGATTTATTCAGGTGTTGTATAAAATAGATTTAATAGTTTGGGAGTCAAAGTGGATGTTCGTTACAGCCAAATGTTCGCTATAGCACATTTGCCTATAGATATAAGATAACAAAATATTAGTTTGAACCGAGCAAGTACCAAATGTTTGGCTGGATGGGAAAACATGGGACTGCAGTCCTATGTTTTCCTGAACTGCAAGTGGACCCGCAATCGACTGTGGTCTGCGGGTCCACTTGCAGGTCCACTTGTTTGGCTGGATGGGAAAACATAGGACTGCAGTCCTATGGGTCTTATGGAACTGCAAGTCCTATGGAACTGCAAGTGGACCCGCAGGCCGCAGTCGACTGCAGCCTGCGGGTCCACTTGCAGTTCAAGACCCATACTCAATATATTTGAATTTGTTCATTTTTGGGGGGAGGGGGGTTCCCGAAAAATATGAATTTCCTTCCTTTAATTATTGTTTTAATTGAAGAAAGAATGTAGGTTTCTTTTCAGGGAACTTACAATGTAAGTCTAAAATTGCATTTCTGATTCCCGTCCCTATATGAAGTCACAGCAACAGTATAAGGGGGTACCAGACAAAGGTTCCTCAAGGTAAAAAGATTGTTGAAGTCCCAAAAACAATTGCTGCGCAGGTCAGTGTGAGTGCCGCTAGGCCTACAAGAATTTAAGAAAACCTGGTACTGGTTCACATCAAATATACACTGGCCGTTTTTCCCCTGAAATTGAAATTAAATTCTTTTATTTTTCCACTTGATTTTCGCAATTGAAGTTACTCACCAGTATAATAACAAGGAAAACTAAAAACAAACAAAGTCACGGGTGCACGAACCATGGGTTCAACAAATTCTGCAGTTATTTCAAGACAAACTCTCATGAGAATTACAGGATAAGTCAGATGGATGCATTTAAAAATTGGCTGTAAAAACTAATATACATGTAGGCTGACATGTTTTAAAATGTTGCATTGAAATTTCTTTATTACAGATCAATTATCCTCAAGACAATCACCATTCGCCAACCCACCTGCAGCTGTTAGATGTATCTACCCAGGCACCAAACCTTCTCAACTGTCCATCGACTGTCAGGTATCATGCCAGTCACAGGAACCAAAGACCCAGGGTAAGTGCTTGCTTTTTTGGTGAATGACGCCAGGTTTTGGGGTTTTTTTGTATGTGATATACCCATTTGGCAACTTTGTATAAACATGGTTTGAAAAAGAAAGATATTTTCAAGCAAAAATGTGTGGAAAAATCGGACTTTGATTCCAGCTTTTTATTAAGTAGACTCCATGAGATGTGCACAAATTGATTTCTTGTTTGATCCTATTTATTAAGGGTGCACGCCTGTAAAGAGGCCAAAATTCCGTCCGCCGATTTCATGAATACAGGGATGTGATTTGTCCGTTTTCCGGAAATCATTTTTTTGGGCCTCAAAAGTCCACCAACGTGAATCATGTGAATCCGTTGAGAAAATAGGGGGGTAGAATGTGCTAATTAATTATTCATAGTGAGTTTTGCTTGCCGAAATATCCGAAATTTACTCACGGACATTACTTTGTTGATCGATATATCGCACGCACATATTGAATACCCAATGTGAGAACGAAGTTGAAGACCATGCGTTGCCGTTAGCTCAATCATGTGATTTTTTGCTCGGGTCCGAGGTTGTGATTATATTGGTCTAGTTCCTGTGTCGGTACTCGAGATGCACGTGTTGCGCTGGTCAGGTGTACAGACTAATATTACTCAGCGTGCACAATGGCATACAGCACAGTACAATCATGTGGATTATGGTTTCAGACCAGTAAATCGGTCCGAAATTGCCTACGCCGGCCAAATCACGATTTGCATGCCCTCAAAATCTTGAGTATTTGAGCATGCTGTGGGCCATGAACTTGAGGGTTTGTAAAAAATACGGGTGGAAGCCGTTTGGATGAAGTTGGGACCCTTAAAGCGTTCTATTTTGCAATGGAGTGTAGACGTCGTTTTTCAACATGGCGATGGGCTTCAGGACTATTTTCAGGGGTGATCATCTTCGGATGGAAATTTCTCCTAAAAGTCATCAGTTGACCCCCCCAAAAATTGAAAAGAAAATGAAAGATGATGAAATAAGCTTTAATTTGATGTGTGTCTCAAACACCTTGGAGAGTTGTAAGTATTTTTCCTGAATTTCTGAAGTGGGAGCATTTACCATTGGGGTCTATGGAAGTTTATTTACTGGTCTGTAACCTTATGCACGTTGTTGTTTTACATGCGTCGGCTCGGAGTGTTTGTGTACGTATGCTGCGCTTCCAACGGAAATCCTTCCAACATGGCTGCGCCCGACAAGTCGATATTGTCGCAAGGAGATTTCAGTGCGAGAGCTTGATAAAGAAGTGAAAAATAAGTTCCGGTGGGAATGGTTTCGGGACTCCGTTATGAATGACGGCCATCTGCATGAATTTCAAGATTATTATTAAATAGCAACCGCTGGCAAGGTTTTTTGCAATGTTTGCAACGACATTATCAACTACGCGTACCGCGTCGAGTGGAAAGAAATCGCTCGTATCCCATGTGAAACACCCAAAGCGCATCAAAGCATGGCAAACACGGCGAGGTAACATGAAAATGCATGGTTCTCAACTTTGAGTACAGAAGAAACTTTATAAGAACAATTAAGAGTACATTTTAACTAAGGAAGGAAAATTCTTCTTAAATTAAAACAAATTCTGCTCCAAAATTTCAGAGGAAAGTGCCCAGTAATCGCCTCAGATTGTACCCCAGAGCATCTGAAATCAAAAAATGTTCGGGCCTTTAAGTGGACCCCGGACCCCACGCCGTAATGGCTTCGCACTTCGCGCTCGCCGGAGCATGCATTTCATGCATAAAATTTTCAGGTTTTTTGTCACAGACCAATCACATCCCTGTGAATAATAGTTATACCCTCAAAATATTCTATATTAGAGAGTTTTGAGAGCCATAAAATTGGGGAATTGAAGAGATACGGTAATGAACCTCTGGCCCGGACTTGGGGCTTCCAATTTTGAGCATTGTGGATGCTATTGGGCTCGAAAGTGGCGCTATTTTGCCATGTTGTGGAGGGATCGTTTTTCAAGATGGCTTCTTTTCCGCTTTGGGGAAAATAGGGGTTGTCTTCTTTGGGTGAGAATATCTCGAAAAGTCAATGGTCAACCCACCCAAAAATGAAAAGAAAATGAAAGATGACACATTGATCATCATTTTATCGATATTTTTAAAAGAATTTTGAAGCATGCGCATTTAGCGCTAGTGTCTATGGGATTTTTTTTTGCAGGGTTGCACCCTTAAGGCGTGTTCTTCCTGCCAAGGTTAAATTATTCCATTGAAATGATCCTGTTACATTTCTCCTTTTGACATTGTCAAGAGATAAATTGTCAGGGGTGCGAGCATACGTACGTACATGTAGCAGTTAAATTGTTTGCAGAAGTTATGGCATCCCAAAAGTTTAGTAAAGGTCTCTTAAAGATCTGTCTTTTTTTCCACACAGACTCTATAACCCAGCACCACCCTGGCAGCTTAGACCAGCATGATTTGAAAACAACAGGATGACTACCCACTCATTTACATCTAGACACTCTACTTCTGTCAAGGAAAGTTCTACTGCCTGAAACGCAGCCAACGTCGCTACAACATGCTGCCCACTGAACTGTAAGCTACTGCCATAGGATCTGATGGGCTATCCAGTTTTAGTCACAGGAAATCTTAGACCTGCGCCATTCACAGCCGCTGACTCCTGAAACCCAACAAGGAAGCAGTCTGAGATGCACTGGAGATCTCTCTTTTCCGGGTTGCCATTCAACGAAAACGATACCACTTCATAGGTGCTCCCTGTCTGCATTGACTGGATGGAATGTGTGAGCTACAGGTAGACCAGCACCAGCAGGAGTCTGCAGGACTTGCTTTAGAATGACTTCCTCCTCAACAAATCTCTCCTGCTGGACACAAAACTTGTCTTCAGAGACTGCTCTTATCTTCAACTGGACAAACACTGATTCTAAGTATACATGCAGCTCACATTGAGCCATATATGAACGTACCTCGCAAGTCACATTTCCAAAAATGTTTGGAAAACTGTTGAAAATATGATGGGAGATACATAAACAATTCATGAGATCTGATCATGAGATCTTCAAAAATTGATTCAAAATGACTGTTGGAATCTGTCAGGAACTTTTGAAACAGCACTCCAAGCTTTGAAAACGGAACTCTTTTGAAAAAGGAACTCTCTTGAAGTGAACGACCATTTTATGTGAAAGAAGTAGAGGTCTCTCTCTCCATGAGGTCACTGGAGGTCATTACAGTTAACCTCTGTGACCTGAGTTGCCTAGGGTAACCACAGTTTGACAGAAGTCAAAACTCTTGAAAGGAAATTGAAAAAAATCTTCAATCACAGTATTCCATAATGAATCCACTGTCACCTATTGACACAGTTTGGGACAAGATCCCCTGAATTTTTCTTCTGCAAGAAATTTATATTGTGATCCAAAATCCTTCTAAACAAAGTGTTTGTTCTTTGTGGATCCACCGTTGATGTCACTTATTGCTGAGATCAAATTGAACCGCAAAATGGACGAGAGGCCTCTACATGTTACACGTAACCAGCTTCTCATTGCAAAACTTTCGGGCCATAAAAATGTTTTGGGTTTTTGGTGTTTTTTTTGTGAATTGATTTCCTTGATTTCATTCAGTGGCGCCACTTATACTTGCCTGAAACTACAGCTTATCACCAAAGCAGTCAATAAGCAGAGCCACTTTACTTACAGCGCGGCATTCCTTTTTCCTCACCTCGATTTTCCAAGAGCATTTGCAAAAGAACTAAAATGTACGTAATCTTTAAGACAGATTTACGCAACATTTACTCAAACTGAGGAAAACATTCCCTCTCAAAAATTTGGATAATGCAGCTTTATGCTTATAACAGAGAGAGCTGGTTACGTTAAATTGATATTTTTATCTGAAATATTTGTTTATGGCATTGCCTGATTGGTAGTAGCTAGGTGCAAGGTTGGTTTTGCTGGAACAAAACTTGACGCACAAATGCAAACACATCTCTTTGAACCAAATTTTTCTATAATTAACACATTGAGCCCAAAATCTCTCTTTTGGACTAACATTTGGTTCGCATTAAAATCAAAAGCTGTTTGAGATTTAAAAAGTCTGGATTTCCTGACAACAAAAGCGGGAATTCTCTGTTAACTTTAAAATGCCCAACGTTGCAAACGAGTACAAAAATCAGCTTTCCGTTAAATCTCCAAATCTGTTTCAACCTCTGCAATGGGTTTTCGATAGCTTTGATGCATTTCCCAGTTGATCATAATTTAGCAGCTACTGTCAGCAGCAATACCAATCTTGTACCCAGCTTTTGTTTTATTAAGTATGGTCAGCACTGGTCAAATGTGTAAAGGCAGCGTTTGGCTTTGAATGAAACATATTGGCTTTAATATCACATTTTCCAAATTCATCAAAATTGAGAAAACCCCAAGTTTTCCATTTCAAACTAAAAACAAAACTTGTAAAAATCACAAAATCGCTGTTATTTGACAGTGTATTACAGGCAGGTGTTTTTGTGTACACACCTATGTTGAATACTTTGAAAAAGCAGTCTTTGTTGGTTCATTTGACAGGCAATTTGAATAACACATTAATGTAAATGATCAAAACATTATCCTAACTTTAAAAAAGAACAGAAAAAAATTATGCTTCCAGTGCTGGCTATACAATGTAAATTCTTTTATGATAATTTGTTGAGTAACCCATATATACTTGACATTTGACCAACAGGCAATGTTCTGATACACTTGAGCCCAACGCATGCAAGTCCCCCCGGGGCGTGCACGTGTGGTGTTCCCCGCCCGCAGATGCCGGCTCGTCTGGTGGGTCGTCCCTGTCTGCATTGACGATTGGTCTTTCGTTCAAGGTGTGTGCTAGCTTCCTGATCTTGTGGTCCGGGTGATCGTGGATGACTTGGTCGACTTCAACATGGTAAGGATCCTTTTGAACTTTGACAATTAGTTTGCCTTTCTGCAAAGGAGATGTCGTTTTGGCCGTTTCTTACTGGGTGTTGCTGTGGAAATTATGTACCATCTATCACTCTGGAGATTGCAAATCTAGAGATCAATCGAGCATCTACTCTTGATGTCCTGCTTGCATTTCATTAGTTCCATGGCATCATGTTGATCCAAATGATCTGCTAACAAATGGATACTGTTGTTGGTACCTCTGATGTTCTTCAATGTGATAGGATTTTTGGACAGGTATTTTAGCTGCTATTTATGTGAATAACTTCCATGGTATAACTCTGAAATCTCATTGTCTTTTATTGTGTTCTCTCATTGAGTGTGTTCAAATCTTAGACATGCACAGATAAACATGGGGAAATAATCTCTAAAGGAAATCAGTACAACTTTACTGAATCGTATCGCGCTGTACATGATAAGTGAACTAAAAGTAAAACTGATGTATAAAAATGCACAAGTCAAAAATTTCCTCTTAATTCAGCATCTAATGCATCACTAAAATCCATAATTTAAAAAGTTTGTCATTTTTTTGGCAACAAGTATTCTAAATTTGATGAAAAAAGGAAGTTTTTGCCATATCAAGTATAATACTTTTCTAAATAAAATCATTCAAATTTCTAGTTCTGGTTTGAACCAAAAACGAAATGAAATAAAAAAATTAAAGTCCTGAATTCAAAGCAACTTAAACTCATTTTTAAAAATCACTTTGCACTTCAGAAAACAAATGAGAAAAATTTTGTCGCATAAATAAATTGGTGAATGGGCCAGTGCCATCATTATTATCAGAAGAGCAGTTGAAAAAAAAAATAGAAATGAAAAGACATTATAAAGTTAGAAGAAAAAGGATAGAAGGCCAAACTCTTGAAATTGTAGGGGAGAAGTCCTGGTGTGCAGAGGGGGAGAACCATGCTGCTTCCTGGCCAGATGGAAGATGTGGTGGACAAAAAGGCCCCCTGCATCCTAAAGACAGAAGCTGTGGTGTGTCAGGCACAGGGAACCAGTCCTGCCAGATGGATCCATGGTAAGTTTAATTGAAGTTTTCTAGAATGAATTCATGCACTGTGTACATCCTCATTGCTTGCTAAACCTACAGTAGAATGTGTATCTCATGGCTAGGAGTAAACGCTATCTGTCTGCATTACAGGAAAACAGTCTTGTGCATTATAGTCTTCAGTCTGTGGCAATACCAATTAGCGTTAATCTGACACACAGAAGTGAAAGTTAAGAGTAATAGGGGTCCGTTATTTGTCATTCAGAATTAAAATTTGATCAAGGCAATCGATCAAATGAGTCCTACAGTAATACAGAGATGCAACCAGTGTACTGGTGTGCAAACATCTCACTCAATCTTTCTGGACTCGACACTCACTGCAAGTACTCAAAGTGCTGCTACCCAAATCATGGTCGAATGTCGTGACCTCTGCACTCCAATCCTATGATTGGATAAAACCTTGGGTTTGAGCAATCACTGCAGCCTCCCATAGATTCATCACCTACCTGATAGGTGGTTGCATGGGGGAATCCCCTGCCAAGTCTCTGTTTATAACAGGACCTTTTGTGATCATAAATTTGTGATCTTATATTTCAAATGCATTCATTTGCCAGCAGTGAAACCCTGGCATCCATGTGTGTTGTGAGTGATCCTAAATTGCAATTCACTTTTAGTGAAGTCTTAACTCTAGGCAGCAAAAGCAGTCTTTCTGTTTACAACAGAAAGTTGAGTTATGGATCAAGTTTTCTAGATTCTAGCGAGAAACTTTGTATGCAAAGCTCCCATGAGTAATTTGAGCAGCATAGTTTTGCTGCGTTCTTTCAGTGTGTTACTGAAACATTCATTTTCATGTATGTAAAAAGTTGAATATTACTGCCAAGGTGCAGTTGCAAGTGAGATATGTGCACAGTTCTCATAAAGAAGCTAAAACGAATATCATTGCCTTCTACCAACCAAAAAATCCTAACTGTTTCTTTTTTGTATACAATGTACAAAGAAATAGCCTTTTTCAAAAACAAAAAAGACATTTAATCACAACGTGATCTTGAGAGTCCTGAAAGATCTTCACCTTAGCTTTACATGATCAAATCATCAATGTTATTTCAGTTGATGTATGTGGACATATGTCCGCTGCCTTGTGGAAGAAAAAATGTAAATATAGCAGCTGAGAACTCAGTTCAAAGTAAAGTTCACTTGGACTTCATCTGACTAGTCGTACCAAGTTAGTACACGCTCTAAAAATGGGCGTACATTTTGTACATGTCAATGTTCATGTACAACAAGGTAGTAAACAGCTGTAACTGAATCTTAAACAGATGTCGGACCATTTAAGCATTTCCTGCTAAGAAGTCAAATCGATGAGTAGATTTTACAAAACTAAACAAGGTTTGCTCTGAGTTGGACGAGTTTGGTTTCATTTCTCATGCAACCAAATCCGCGAACTGTTCACAAATCCTTCAAAGATTGCTGAAACCGAAAGTGATATGCAAACAATTGTTTTGTATTGCCAGCAAAAGGAATTGTTCTATCAGGTATGACTCACAACTTTACAAAGTAAAAATTGCCAAGCCATTGATTGTAGCAAGATGGCTGTCTTAAGTACTGTAAGTAAGAACGATTGTGAAAGTAACTTCTTACACAGTTTCCAAAAGCATTTGTTTACAAACTATGATAACCTGATTCAGTTTTGACCCCAGCCAAACCGGCAATGTTAGGAATATTGCATTTTGGCATGACGGTGTAACCGTTGTGTTTCATTTTGTCAAATAAGGTGAAGATCTTTCAGGACACATGTTGGTATTGCCACAGACTGAAGACTAGCTACGCTCCATGCTTGAACCCTTTAGTGACCACACTTCTCTCAGTGTGCATTGCACTTTGCAATGTGCATTTTATGATGCAAATATTGTGAGGCGTCACTTTCCAAATTCAAACATTCAAATTCTCAACTTGTATCTCAATGACACTCTGTACCTGTAGTGTTGTAAAATCAGATTTTATAACCAATCAATTTTCATGTAATGCTGCAAAAAAAATTCAGCTGGTTGAAAATGTTTGTCCTGTGTGGCTACTGCGGACAATTCAGTTCTGGTCACCTCTGGCCACTGTGGTCACTAAAGGGTTAAAAACGTCCAAGGTTCAATAATTAATTATTCAGGTCAGTTTAAGATCAGTTTAGTCTCAAGAGGGTCGATAAAATGTACATGTACATGTAGGATAGTTTCTTGTGTTGGGACAGTTAATGTCTTTAGGAATGCAGGTATACTTAGTGCTTTTGGTTATTGACAGAAATCAGTAATTTCAAAAATTTATGGAAAATGTAAACTCTAGCAAATTTTGTTGTTTCATGTAAACTTACCTGAAGACTGTTTTTTAGAAAATCATCAAAAAGTTGTGCAGAGTGAATAGTCAATAAAACCAGGAGGAAAAAAATCGAACATGAATGTAATTAACTCTGACAACCAGGTTAAAATTAGGTCCTCAACAAATTTGCAAAATTCTATTCTTCTAAAAAGTCAACGTTTTTTAACATTCAACACTTTATAATTAACAGAACAAAAACTACTTAGCAAAGTTGATAATAAGCAGGACAAGTTCTTTTCAGAACTAAATATCTTCTAAGCAGTAGTTATTACCACATGGTGTTACCGCAAACCGAAACGATACCGATACCCCACCGTGCAAAGCCTCAAATCTTATAACACTTTATAATGTTTCCCGTAAACAAGCCTGAAGACCTTTTCTCAGAAAATCAATGACTAGTTGTGCAGAGCGAATAGTCAATAAAAACCAGGAGGACATAAATTGCACATGAATGTGATAAATGACAAATCATTGTAGCGTCAAACACTGATAACCAGGTTAAATTAGGTACTAAACAAATTTGCAAAAATTATAACCAGAAAAATGTTCAACTTAAACTGTAAGACACTACACCTAAGCCTTTGTGAGAAACCTGCGACACTGACAGAAGAACAAATGCCAGGCACTTTGACTTAAATCTCAGACTTGACTCACATCTTATCGTGACTCAATCATTGAAAGGACTAAAATCAGGATATGTTAATAACGTGATTAAATGAAATCAAGTGACTCGCATACTCGGAAAATATCAGTGAGAATGAAATTGAACTTAGCACTAAATTTTAGTAGTATAAATTGTCCTTAGGAATATATTCAGATACTTGTATTCTCCAAATAAATTAACCTTACTTCTAGAAAAGTCGGACAGGCAAAAGTCGTGTTTTTATGGACGTGTTTGCAAACAGAAGAAGTTGCAAATTTAATTATTTCTCTAGGGTAGAGTTATTTAAAAACTCTCAAGTCATGAAAGTCCCCTGGTTTCCTCTGCATATTAATTACACTTTATAATGTTAAGAGAGAGGATGGGTTTAGCCTAAAGAATTAGTTGTTAAACACGTGTACATGTACATGTAGGTTGTTCAGCAAATTGCATAGATGTCAAAGGTGGAAAAGTTCACATTCTGTCTCGTATGAAAAGGTCGTTATAGGCAGGCCCCAGAATAAATCTTGAATAATAAATTGGCAGTTTCGGTGATTGGATATCTAGAAAAACAGATAATTAGGAAGAACGTTGTTTTGCAGTTCTGCATATCCATTGGAGTAAGTTCAGACCGTAAATGCAATTTACAAAGATAGCAATATGCAGTGAGGCACTGCAATTCTGTGCCACATATTCAAGGTGTCATACCTTTGTTGAATGATTGACTTGTAAAATAAAGTCAGACTTTACAGGAAAGAAGGCAAAAAGAACAGTGAAAAAAAA